ATCATATTGTATGCCACAAATCGTCGATTTAGAAAAATACAAATAGCAACCCTTCAAATTTGAAAAGTCAAGAAGTTTGATTCAGCTAAATTGGATTACTAAATCGAGTCTTACATATCATCCTCGTGCAGAACACCATCCGCAAACAAAGACCCGTCATATTGTGTGCCATGAATCGTCGATTTAGCCCTACTTCACTTCCCCGATTGCCATTTTAGATCACCTTTCGTAAATTAGGAAACTTTAGGCATATCGGTCACTTACTTCTTAAACCTCGACGGCAAGTTTTAATATACAAAACAAAAAACGACACATAAAGAAGAAGAAGAAAAAAAACAGAGCAGTCTCTGTTTTCAAACATTTGCAGAGACAAAAGCTTTTCCCACCACCATCATCATCAAACTCTCCCTCCCTCTACTTAATCAAGCTGAGCATACCAAACCCCCTGGATCTTCACATCCTTGGGCGCCTTGGCGCCCAAATCGGTGTCCGACGGCTGAACGCTCTCGAAAACCCCGATCACCTCCCCTGTCTCCGGCTTGCTCTTGGTCACACTCAGGGTAATCTTCCCTTTCGACGCCGCCGCGTTCTTCACATTCTCCTTCGCCAGCTCCTCCTCATCACCTCTCCCGCCGGCGGGCAGCGCCACCGCATTGTCATACCCTTGCGACCCACCTCTGCCCTTCGGGTCCAAGAACGACGATCCTCTGTAGCTCGGCACCAAAAACTCCCCACTGAAGCTCTCCGGCTTCCCCGAAGCCACCAGCTGCTTCACCGTGAAAAGAAAGGGGACCCTCTCGCCTCCGGGGAGCTGGACGGTGACGGCGGCGTAGTCGATGCCGTCTTTCTCCTCGAATTTCACGGTGCCGTCAGGGGAGACCTCGAAGGGGCCTTCCATTTCGTCCAAGGTGTAGGTGAGCCTGGTCATGAGCTTGGTGTTTTGGAATTCCGCAGGGGAGTTCTTGCTGATTCCTTCGGCTTTCACGGTGAAGGAAGTCGGCTCGAGGCAGAATTTCTTGGCCTGGTATTTCCCTGCTTTGAAGGAGAAGGCGTCGGATCCGCCGTCGATGGTGGGGCATTGGTTGGCTGTTCCTGTGCCTTTCACTTCCATGTAGGTCTTGCTCTGGATCTCGTCGAAGGTCAGCCTCTTCGGCGCGCCTTCTGCTCCAGCTCCCTGCGTAGCCAAAACATAAACAACTCCAATGTTGGTGAAATGGTATCAGAAGAAATGGGCCACTGAGATTAATAATTACAAGTTCAATAGTGAAACTGTGATGACAGATACAATTGACAGTAGGACTTCACAAAGATCAGTTTGGTAGCTATAATGAAAGACAATACGTGGACAATGTTTGGCGCCATTCTTAATCGTAAATCGATCGACACATATGGACTAACGAACGTAAAATCAGTTCAGAATCATCATGGTAATTGGTAAAGACATAATCTAGAGAGGTTAGCCGACTGGACTTGTACTTCAGACATGATACTAGAGTGTTAAATAGTCTCTAAACTTTCGGACTTCAAATTGTATCATGATGAATTGAGAGCCTTCTCAATCATGTTTATTCGATAGTTGCTGCTAACCCTATTAGTGGTTATTTGATTTTAGCGGTATAATGTCTCACAATCCTGATTACAACAGGATTGGACTGTTTCTCGCAATCCAAATCACAACAGGATAGAAAGTCTTCTCAATCATCATGTGGGTTCATCAGTTGCTGCTAAGTGCTAACCCTATTGCTGGTTATTTGAGTTAGTTGTACCATATCTTATAATCCAAATTACAGCAGGATTGGACTATATCCGGTAATGATCAAGCTCTACACAGACACTAACATGCTATTAAGAAGACTAGAACTCAAAGGATCATCATATCTGAGCAAAAAGTCGAAACCCATTTAAGAAGCAAAGACATAATACCGAGACAACAAGAGCAGAGGTGGCAAGAGCAAAGCCAGCAAGCTTGGTGGCATCGATACACTTCTGGGCCAACTCCTTGAGGTCAGATTGAAGAGAGCAAGAGACTCTAGCAGAGGCAGCTGGCTCCAGACCAAAGGCCCTGGACACATTTTGGGAAGACCTCAATTGGAGGAAGGTGTTGTTGGAAGAGGAGTTCCTTCCCACCTTGGTGGGTTGCATCAGAGTTGCTGCAGCTTGAAGTGAGGCTGCCATGGTTGAAGCCAAAACACGAACAAAACCCACTACTGGGATCTGTGATGGGTGGGAAATAGTGGACGGAGAGAGGAAATTGTGTCTTTTGAGCTAAGGTAGGGAAAGAGGAGTTAAGTTGGTTGGCTATGGAGTGAGTGAGAAAAGATGGAGGATAAGAGGATAGGGTAAGGGTGAAATGCTATTGGAGGGTGCCACATGGGCAGCGATATACTGAGATTTTTAGGCTTCAAGAGATACACATTTGCAGTTTCAAGAGTGGATGGATGGAGTTAGAGGAGTGGAACCACATGTAGTAGGAGTGTAGGACCTGATTTTTTTGTGGCTGTGAGCGAATGAAATGGCAAAAGGCAAAGTCAATAGCAGTGCAAAATGAATATTGGCCCATACAGGTCTCGAACCTGTGACCTTCGCGTTATTAGCACGACGCTCTAACCAGCTGAGCTAATAGGCCTTGATGTTGAAATGATTAGTTAGAAATTATTTATAAGTGTTACCGGTTGTCCAAAGTCTGACCACAAGAGATTGAGAACCACTAGAACAATGATCTTGCTAGGTTTTCAAAGAGCCTAAAGGTGAGATTTTTTTCCACTGGATAATAAAGGGTCCTTTGGGTTAAGATTAGATTTAGGAAGCAGCTCAAAAGGGCTTGAAAGAGAACCACTAGAACAATGATCTGCTGGTTTTTCAAAGAGACTAAAGGTGAGATTTTTTTCCATTGGATAATAAAGGGTCCTTTGATTAAGATTCGATTTAGGAAGCAGCTCAAAAGTGCTTGAATGAGAATCACATGACTACTACCTGCCTAAATGACCAGTCTTCAAGTCAGTCTGCAGGCTGATAAGCTGATAAAAGAACGAACTGAGCAATTGTCCAGGTTAATAGTCACAAATAACCAGTTTCTGCTGATCAAAGAATGGACAGAGCAATGGTCTATGACTCCATGTTCATAGTCTGAAGGGAACCAGTTACCAAACTCTGCTGATTCTTTATAGAGATTGAAGGTGAGATTTTTTACTAGTGATTTTTAATTAGGTTAGAACGGTTTCTTCCGGTTAAGTTGAGATTCAGGAAGCAGCTCAAAAGTGCTTGAATAGAATCACAGGTCAAATAAAATTTGACCTCAATTCAGATTTGAGTTATATTATTCTCATCATTGCTGCATAGTCAATGTTCGTGGCAAACTAAGTTTAATTGTCCTTGACAACATGTTTTTCAGTCAACAAGATCTTTACAGAATTGTTCATATAAGATCCAGCAAAACAGAGCCTACCAATCAAAAATTAAAAAACAGAGTGCAAAAAGTGTAAAACTTTGAATGAGATTTTGACTCCGGCAGTTCAGAATGAGTAGGAGGTTGAGATAATGAATCATCATTTTGTGGTAAAATAAGACCAAAACTCTATCATCACCACTGCCAAAACATAACAAGACCAAAGCTGAAATCTTTAGAGAAAGCAATTAAAAAGGTTGATTTTCTTTTGGCATGATGGGGATCATGAACAATGGATTCCTCTCAGACAAATGCCTCGTTTGTCGTCAGGGTTTTTGAATGGATAATCGGACTCGTCATCTATAGATACTTATCATCACCGAGGAAATCACGAATCATAACCCCCCACATAAGCTGAAGCAACAATTACTAAAACAAATCGATCAAAGAAAAAGAGGAAGATATATATGGCCATGGCTGATTAGCTCCACCGTCCTCGTCTGGAGAAAGAAGAAGAAGAAAAAAAGCTTTCCCTTTTTCCAGCGGCGACAGAGGAGCGAATAAGGCATGGCCGCATGGACAAGAAGGAGGCAATCAAGCACGGCGGAGAAGAGGGTTCCGAGCAAAGAGACGGAGCATCACCATGGAGATGGAGGTAATGGAGGACGACGAGTTGCTTTGTTTAATTTATAGGCTGAATCGCAGAGCCTAGGGTTAGGGTTTTATGCGGAATTGGAATTGGGATGGGAATTGGAGTATTGGACGCTTGTTTTTGTTTAGATACAACGGGCCGGACCATTTTAGCCCACTCTCGTTGTAGATTTCAGCCTTTGCCAAGATTAAGATTGAGAAACGGGAAACAATCTGGTACAGGTATTTTACAAAACCGACCCAAACCTTCTTCTCCAATATATATTTTTTTATAAATATTAGGCTAAGAAAAAGTCATATAGTTTAGACTTAGTGTAACTTGTATCTCCATGTTTGTACTGCGTTAGTTATGTACGGACGTTTAGAGTCTTCATGTCAAGACTGTTCTCTGTTATTTCATTAATTGTCATACTTCACGGTCAATCAAACGGCGGTCAAAATTTTGTTAATCTGGTGCCAACATGTCTGTCATGTCATCGACACATAAAAAAATTGGGGGGGGGGGGGGGGGGGGGGGGGGGGCAGGTTCTTTGTTTAGCAATATGATCTAAACAATTATCCCTATCCTCTCGGTAGCTTACGAGTTTCTTTTTGTGTCTATTTCCGTTGCTATCAAGATTTAGATCCCTCCTATTTTATTAATATGATTTTTTTCCTCCAAATTTTGAGAGCTTCAAAAATAACTACTGAATTACTAATTTTTAATTTTTGTGCCGCAATTAGTGAGAGGGTGGAATTGTCGTTTCGGGACAGACAAATTATAGGTTGGAGATTTTGCTGTGGTGTTTTACATAACCTTAGATTTTGTATACGAACCTCAACCTTTATTTTAGCACTAAAACAAAAACAAAAAACTCTAACACCAAACTGAAACAACTCATGTCATGTTCTTAAAGAAAAATGTATCCAGCAGTGAAACACAGAACCCATATAGTTTCAGCTCCATACTTGACTGAACCAGCATGGTGCAAACTCAGACCCTGCAATCACAGGTAGCTAGCCTAGGTTCATAATAGATAACGTCTTCTTTTGATACTAAACTACAGGAATCATAATCGAAAAGAGAAAAGGATTTACAAGAACTCAAACATAATATGCCCATTTGATGTTGCGAAAGAACAACATATCCAGTACAGCCATATAAGCTCATTAGGGTTACACAATCTTCACTCCTTGTCCAGTGCTACTACAGTCAACATACTTAACAACAAAGTTCGAACTCGTTCCTGGCTTAACATTTCATACATTAGTATATAGACAGCAGAAAAGCCAAAAGGGGATAGGAATTAGGATCTAACATCCATCTCTACATTAGTCATAATCACACTACTACTTACCTCAGCTTTCAAGTTCAACCTTTGGTCATGTTCATGTAGTTAAAAGAACAGCACGCATAGTCTTACATCTATTTTTAAGGACACGATTCAGCAGATGATCACCTCCAAGGGGCGGCAACCACAAGTTCAAACTCATTGCAGGCACTGTCGATGCGGTCCTTCATTTCATCCACCGTTGATTGCAGAACTGCAGCTTTGGCTTCTTCTGCTTCCATCTCCTTCTTGGTTGCAGCCAGTGTTTGCTGTAGTTCCAGCATCTTCTTCTCGATTTCGTCGATCGTGGCAACCAGCTTTCTCTTCTTGCCGATGTGATGTTGTAGCTCCGGTTCGGCATTCTTGACAACGTTCATCCACTTGCTCAACGGTTCTTTGATCGACAGCAGCTTGCTTATGCGATTGCGTGGCAGTGTGACATTGAACCCATGCTTCTCCAAGTCGGATAAGCTGGCCAGATTTGACTTGAACGAGGCCCTGGAATCGTGGATGCGAAGATTGGCTATCTTCTCAAACACATTGCAGAAGGTTACCATTATACCAATTGCTGCGCCTTCGCGATAATCCTCTTTGCAGTCGAAGAGAGGTCGGAAATGAGGTTTTTGTGGAATGTTTCTGAAAACTTCCGAGGACTCTATTGATGCCCAAGCTGGTGACCTTTTCTGAAACGGCCAAGCATCAGGATTGGTTTCTTGATCGGCTTGCCTTTCACGCAATCCATTACCTGACCAGGCAGAAGATAAGTATATAAATAACCACAAATTTCAAACAATGGGAAGCAGAAAAACAAGTCAACTTAAAGCAATACACTGCCTTCATTACCACTTTTGGAAGAGCAGAGTCTTCCCAACCACATTGATAGAGGTTGATCTTCATTAGCAGCTTCATTTCTCACGCTCTCTATCCCAGTCCCTGGAATACAAGCTTTCTTCTCCACCAACCCATTTGGAGGAACTGCAGAATGACAAGTAGAGTTTAAGATCAGGAAAGTGTAAGACTGTAAAGACTTCTTTTAGAAGTCAAGGAATAGAAAATGAGGTATATCAGGGAGGAACATTCAGACATCATACCACCATTCAACCAGTGTCAACGTCAAGCAGAAGTTACGCCAAGATTCCTTCATGCAACAGTATGCACTTACAAAGACGACGACGCTAAGGCTAACACTAACCCATATTCCCCCTTCATCTCCATCCTTAAGGTACTGCCAGCAGACATACTTTTTCCTTCCAGCTGTACCATTTTCATCTGTAAACTCTCGTCTTACTACCTTCCTAATCTAGTTTAGATAAGGGTTTACACCCAAATGATGGATAATCGTAAAAAAACAATAGTATCATGACTGATTTTTTTTTGCATCAAGCATGTGAAACCCTTTTCTCTGCAGACAATAACAATCTAGGCACCAACATCCTCATACCTGTAGAGTCCATCTCGGCTTGAAATTCTCCGCCAGCTTCACCAGTCACGGCTTCGAGAGCCATTTCAATGTCATCATCAATCTGGCTGATTTCCATGCCTACAGTTAGATCATCACGCATACTTATCATACAAATGTGACGAAAGTAAATACCCTAACCAACGGTGTACATACGTAACAGCATCTGGCCTTCCCACGGCCGATTTGGACAGAAAACAGCAGCATTCTCATGCTTCTCAAGCAAGTAGATTGTTCCACCTTTCATAAAGAACTGACAAGCCATGGTGCACCGTACAAGCTAGCCAGCAGAGACTAACTTGAACAGCTGCATAAACTACGCCTACGAACATGCACTGCCATTAGAGAAGACAGAGCTAAGAGATTGTTCCTAGCACTCCCCCCCAACACCTCAAATTCCAAGTGTTGCTTTTGCTCTACTCATTTCCACAAACTGAAGGGGGGAAAAGAACCCACTTAGCTCATTGTTGTGAATGTCGAAGTAAGCAAAGCTGAAGCTATGTTTTGCTTACCGACCTCAGCTCCGTTGTGTTGTCCCTGACCAGCGCCGCGCCGGACCTTCGTCTCCAGATTCGGCCGATCTCTTCACTGTTCTTTAGGTGGAGTTGAGGGTTTTGACTGTTGAGCGTCATTTCAGTGCTATTTATTTCCATCTTTCCAGTTTCCAGCAAATGTGTTTTAAAAAAACGTTTCGCTTTATCCACGTCAGCACCAGTCTCTGGTTTTTATTTTAGTTTGTGAAAGAAAATGAAGCAGGGGCTAATAATTCGACTCAAGCCCACAACTGAACGGAAAAGCCCCACCGCGAGATTAGAAGTAAAGGCCCACAATTTATTTACTTGGCGAAACAGACCCGCAAGGCCCAAGTTTTACTTCGTCGAACCGTTGGCATATATCAACTTTCACCTGTTCCTGGCTTTTGTTTCAATTTGGTTGTGATGGTTTTCCACAATTAACAACAGCAGCCACATAAACATGTGTGATCTCTCTCACAAGTCAGCAATGTTGTTGAAAGAACCAAGCAAAACCAGCTCCGCTCCAACCTTGCACTACTGCGAAACGAGGTCACACTGTGCAGATAGATGTTTCTGAAACCCGAACAAGACTTGAGACAGGTGCCGTTAGCGATTCGAGATCTAATAGTTGAAATCGACGATGAAACAGAAATACAACCATTAGTACGATCAGCAGTTTGCAAAAAGCAGAAAGACACCCCCTTCTTACAACTTCATAATTTCACCATGGTTCGCTTCAAACTTGGATCAAAGACTTCTATTCCGCATTAAAAACCAAGACTGCAGCTCAGTTCATCCGAAAGATCATATTTCAACCCTCATCCTGATTTGGTAAAGAAAATCCTCAACAGATATAACCTCGCCGTCCTAGTAAGAAAACTGATTCTCAATGCAGCTCCACACAAATATCTGATACTATACTTCACGGGCACAAGAAGATGGAGTTTGAAACGAAACCTCTATGCAGAGACCGAGGGTGAGTCATCCATGCCAGGACTAGAAAATTCGTCTGCAAGAGGTGTGTGCGCATAAAGACGTCTCGAAGATCAATGATCCGCAAGAAGCACCTTCAGTAAGTCTGTTAGTGGAGAGTGAGAGTTCTTTGTCATGCAACTCCCTGCAACTGATGTTCTACCGGCCTGTTTCTATTTATCAAACTCCCATATCACTCCTCCATCCTCTGAAAATTGTTCAAAAACACATGAAAAACTCCATTATGGATTGAACCAAGGTAAGATCATTCACCAGATCATGTGCCATTTGCAAACAAGGATGGTAACTAATCGCCAACAGAACTTCGTATGATATAATCACACAGCTTCTGAAAGCAATATACGAGAGCTAAAATTCAGTGATGAAGAAGATCAACAAACCTACCTTTGACTTTCTTGTTTATCCACATCTCCACCAGCATGCCAGCACCAACCCCGCCAACAATGCATGCTCCATAGAATCCAATCGCCGAGGGCCAAGACATTCTAGGAAGGAAATAGCTCTCGGGGATTTGCCTAATCCTTTTGGGAAGCCGCTTCTTTACAGCTTGCTTTGTTCCAGCACTTGGGTCGTTCTGAAGCTCTGTGCCTATCGCTTTCCAATCGACCCCTTTCAGTGGATCTCTAGGCTCTTCAGTCCCCATGACAACTAATGCTTAAGCTTTACAAAATTAGTCCCTTCAGCCAGTTCAACACTGCATTTCAAAGGAGAGATCCTGAGACTAGGAAATAATATCGACATTACCGACAAAGATGAGACTTTTCAAGTGACGAAAATGAAGAGACAACGATAATCAATTGTGGGTATAAGACTGGAATCAACATCGGTACTTCCCACTTCTCTGCAGATGACAATGGTGGGAATCAAATGGCTGGAGGTTTTGCAATAAAAACTGAAGACAAGGACGGAAACTACTTCAGGAATTGGATTTCGCTCGGACTAATGGCTCAATTCATCGTCATGGGTTCTGAAGAGAATGGGAATCATAGATCGGAACTGGTCATCTTTGTTTGGCAATCAACACACCGATAAATGAAGGGGGGAAAAAAACACCAATCTCCCCAAAACTTGAAGAGCAAAAGGAAGAACAGTCATGATGATAAGCAAGTTTCTGCGGAAGAAGAACTAGTTACCTGCAATGAAAGGGATGGCAGGTGAGTAGCCGTGCGATTCAGCGACAGAGGAGGACAAGCTCCAGTCTTTAGGGTTTATGTGGTTTCAATTTTTTTCAGTAGTCGCTGCACGCCCTGTGGCCTGTGCACTCTGTTCTCTGATGGAGTAGACCGGACCAGACTCAAGCCGGTTTGGATTCCAAGACGTCCACATCAATACAATTGAACATTTGTTTTAGCCCGTTGACCCGGTCGAACTAGTTGGTCAAGGGTTAATGACTCGATCGTTTTGATTCGCTTTACCTCGGTTTAATCCGGATATATAGAAAAAATTAATACATTATACATACATATATAAATTATATCAAATTATTCTAACATGTAAATAATAATAAATAACTTTACACCAAAATAATAACTCATACTTAAATCCAACCCATTATAAATAAAAAAAATCAACAATGTAGTAAAAACTCAATTGCTCTTTCTAGAAAATAATTCTCCTAATCTTTTTTTTTATAGTAAATTTGGGCAATGTATTAAATGGATCGGCCTTGTCCCATAGGACCTCTGCCCAAGTCTGTTTCAATCATACATGGCAGAGTCAACAGAGAGTTATCAACCCAAACCAATTGGTGGTTCCAACCAGTCCCGGAGTGAGCCAACCAATGAGCCAGGAAATTTTTTGTCATAGGCGTAAACACCCATCTAATCTTGCAGCCCGACAAAGACTCATTCACAAATGCCAATCTCTTCAGCTCATCGCACCGAATCCCTAGTTCCGTAAAATCGAAAGAAAATGACATTTCGGGGAAATCGCCCGAAAATTGTGATGGTACACTTTTGAAGTCTGCCCAGCGGCGGATCCAGGGGGCCGCCCTCCTCTAGATCCATAGCTAGTATAGTATGCGTAAATTTTTTATTTTAGATATTTTTTCGGTGTGTTTTTTGGTTTTGTCGGGCTACAACCCATCCCTCTCTGTCTCTCTTCAAATACGGCCCAACGCTCTACCCTGTCATGGATCCGCTGCTGAGTCTGCCATAAATGGATCTCGAAGAAATCCGCCCAAATCGGTGTTTAATGGACTTAATCATCGTTGAAGAATAGTCTCATGCCGAATTCGTGATTTGTGGTCTTCAAATTCCAAGGAAAATGGCCTTACGAAAAAATCGCCCAAAAAATTACGAAAATGTCATCCGAAAATGAATTCTCCCAAATCGGTGATTAATAGACTTAATCATCGGTGGAGAACAGGATCAAAAGACTTCTTATTAGCGGAGAATAGCCTCGGGCTGAATTTGTTATCTGTAGCCTTCACAATTGAAAGAATATGGCATTTCAGGTAAATAGCCTCAAATCTCTGATGGTAACCATTTGGAACCCGCCAAAAATGGACCCGGAATAAATTCGTCCAAACCGGTGCTTAATGGACTTAATCATCATTGAAGAATAGCCTCAGTCCTCATCTGTGATCTGTAGCTTTCAAAATCCAAGTAAAATTGTTTTCGAAAATAATCGCCAAAAAAATTATGAAAATGCCATCTGACAATGAATTCGCCCAGATCAGTCTTAATGGACTTAATCATTGGTAGAGAATAGGATTAATAGACTTCATTATATGTGGAGAATAGCCTCGAGCTGAATCTATGATCTGTGTCCTTCATCGAAAGAAAACGGCATTTTAGGATAGCCTCAGGCCCAAAAGAAATTCACCCAAGTCGGTGCTTAATGGACTTAAATATCAAAGAAGAATAGCCTCAGGCCGAATCCGTGATCTGTAGCCTTCAAAATCCAAGGAAAATGGTCTTTCGAAAAAATTCGCGCAAAAAATTGCAAAAATGTCATCCAAAAATGAATTCGCACAAATCGGTGCTTATTAGACTTAATCATCGGTGGAGAATAGGATCAATAGACTTCATTATCGGTGGAGAATAACCTCGGGCTGAATCTGTAATCTGTAGCCTTCAAAATCGAAAGAAAATGATATTTCGAGAAAATCGTTCAAAATCTGTGATGGTACTTCTTTGGAGTCTGCCAAAAATGACCCCGGAAGGAATCCATCCAAATCGTTGCTTAATGAACTTAAATATCATAGAAGAATAACTTCAGGCTGAATCCGTGATATGTAGCTTTCAAAATCCTATAAAAATGGTCTTTCGAAAACAATCACCTAAAAATTTAGGAATATATCATTAGAAAATGATTTCACCCAAATCAGTGATTAATTTACTTTATCGTCTGTGGAACTTCCATGACTAGTCGGAAGTTGGAACTTCTAAACTATTTTTCTTGTCGTGATAAACGGAATTTGATTGTGATGCAAGAAAGATAGGCAAATGGGGAAGTTAGAGAAGAAGAAGGAGAGGACAATGGAGGGGGGAAAAAAGACAAGCAAAGCCATCGAATTTGGTTATTGTTTTAGCCATGGATGAGAACCTTCCAAACGAAATGAGATGATTTTCCCTATTACTAGGTGACAAATAAAAAGAAAATAATTAGGGTTGTGGACTTAACGGCTAGAGAATTGGGATCCTCCTTCCAATACACAACAACTTTTTTTTTTTTAGGAAGAGTGGTTTAATTAAGCAATAATAATATCCAATGACACATTTCTTTTGAGGACAAGGTTTTTAGTGTTTAAACAAAACGTACTAAAATTTAGCCACCAAACATTTGGTCCCACTCTTTATTGTTTAACCAAATTAAGACGTTGAACAATGAGCTTCTTTGGAAATTCAAGTTTATAATTGTAACTGGATATCATTCCCCACTAGTTCGTAGCAAATTTGAAATACGACATCCTAATTGTAACTAGATATCATTCCCCTAAGAACACCCCCCGCTGATGATTCAATTCTATGGACTGAAACGGACAATGGCATCTACAGCGTTAAGTCGTCTTATAGGAAGTTGTGGAGGAGAGATCACATGAAGGAAGATAATAATGATAGCAGGGTGCAAAGGCTGAGAAGCTACTGGAAAAAGATATGGAGCCTTCCCATTCAACCCAAAGTGAAAGTTTTCCTATGGAGAATAAGCAGGGATATCTTACCAGTTGGAACAAACATTGAAAGAAGAATTGAGGAAGCCCCGTCTGACTGCCCCTTCTGTGGTCTTCCGGAAACACAGCTCCATTGTCTAAGGGACTGTGCATGGACTCGGCGCCTTTGGCAATCTTGCGAAGACAGAGAAGTTTTTCTGCAGGGTGAAGGCCTCTCCGGCCATGATTGGTTTCTCAAAGTTTTCGAATCCCAGCCGAGTGACAACCTCCAAAGGTTCTGCGCGATCCTGTGGTTCATCTGGAAGGAAAGATGTAATCAGATGTTCAACAACAAGAAGCTGGAGGAGGAGGAAATCATACCAAAAGCTATCGAATGGATCAGAAATTACCTCCAGGCCCAGGGCTCTAATACCCAGCATGCAAGACAAGCCACTAGCATCCAGGGATGGAAACCACCTCCGACCGGATACAACAAGATGAACTGCGACGCGGGGATTCTGAAACCGTCGGGGATTGGAATTGGCTGCGTGTTCAGGAACTGGAATGGTGACTTCCTGGGGGCGATTGCTGGGAAAGAATCGGGGTCATGTAGACCAGTGGAGGCAGAAGCTAAAGCAATTCTCGCTGGGCTGAGAGAAGCTAACCGAAGAGAGTGGAGTCCCCTGATTGTGGAGAACGATTGCCTTAATTTGATTAGTTTGCTGGATAAGGAGGATGAGGATAGAACTGAACTGGGGATCTGGTGTAAAGAGATAAGGAGACTGGCGGATTCTAACTCGTCTATTTCCGGAAGAAAAGTGGTGTGGGCGTTTGTGCCTAGGAGCTCAAATTCAGTGGCCCATTGCCTGGCCCACTCAATTTCCCATGTTAACCAAATGTGTATTTGGACTGAAGGTCTACCAAACTCCATTAGGAGTCAGTTAGAGGCTGAGAGAGCCCAGATTTGCTGAGTTTTAATAAAATCTTTACAGGGCTTCTTATAAAAAAAAAGGTTTGCTATTGTACATTATTAGGAGACCAATATATTAGGATTGTATTGTATCATAAATAGCTCTTCAGTTTGCCCCGATTTTATTTATTTATTTATTATGATGGGTTAAAAAGATGTGAATAATAGATTGTCCAAAACATCACAATTGACAACAAATTGGAGCGCACTATTAATATTACATTGATATGGCCTCACAGGCCATACACACATTCCAAGCAAACATGAAAAGGTTCAAAATTACACAAATTACAAACACCAAACAAGAAAAAGAAAAAACTGAGAGAGGAAATTAATAGGTTGATCAATTCCTAATTGACCACAAATTTCCCCATATCCTTTATTTCATCCATCACTTGTTCTTTGTTCTTCCAAGTTCCAACAATCAACACTAATTGATCATCGTCGTAGTATATGAGAAGCGTCCACTATCACACAAATCGACAACTTCTCTCTTCTAAGCTATTTTACCATTTGATCCAGCTGAACCTGTACAAGTATTAAAAATTGGGGGATGTCATATTCACCATCGTCAACAGTAATAGTAATGTTCTATAGCTAATTATGAGCGTATAAGGAGGACATGTTATGCACCAACCACATAACTCTTTACTTTTTGTGGTAACATCGGTTTTATCATTGTGATGCGATTTTTATAATTTGTGATGAGACTATCTTGCCTACATGATATGGGTCATTGAGTATAGGGGTGAACAAACACACCCGTAAACAGACCCACCCATCTAACCCGACCCAACCCACCCGTATTTATCGCTAAAACGAAGGTTTTGGGTTGGGTGAGGATTTTATTTTGTACAACCCGCTTCTTTTGGGTTGGGTTTGGATTTTGGATTACACAACCCGTAGAACCCGACCCAACCCGTGTTCCAAATATTAGTATGAGTTCGTATCTAAAAAATATTTATGTCGTATATAGACACACTTATGAGAAAATTAAGATATTTCGCCATGTTTTTCTCTCATGGTCTCTATAATCTGATGCATTTATCGACTTAAAGTTTAGACATAAATTGAATATAGTTACGATTCATGTAATCCTTTTTCTTGTGTACAATTTTAATAGAATAACATATTATGGTTTATAAACTTTTTAGCGTATTTCAACAAATATCGTGAAAAAACTAGACATATGTTGAACTAAATCACATTTTATTAAAATTCAAACAACATTTGTGAATTTTGATAACTTTCACCTCGGTTTATTCGTTTGAAATTTTAATTAGTTATAAAATATTTTTATGATGTAGAATAATTATATATTTTATGTTGGGTTGGGTTTTTACTTAAAAATGTCGCCAACCCGACCCAACCCAATTAAAAACAAACCGTAGGGTTTAAATTTTTTTGGGTGGGTTTGGGTTTGATATTTTCTAAACCGTAGTACATGGGTCGGGTGATTAAAATGGCTAAACCCGAACCACCCGACCCATGTAAATCCCTTGAGTATTGAAGTCATGTTGAGGTCTAAGTGATTATAGCCCCGTCTCACTGTTCAAAATGAGATAAACTTACGTGTAAAATTCGTAATCCATTCCGCAAAAATAGACCAGTGAGTAAGGCGCTCACATCTCCCGTCTTTGATAATCATATGGTTCAAATCGTAGATTTTTTTAGTCACCTCCTATCATATATCATGTACTTTTTTTTTTTTTTTTAACGAAATCTTTGAAATTTGAATTAACAAACTACCAACCTGCGGAGGCCGTAGCGGCCGAGCTCGCCGCGGGCGGCGGCGGCGGCTGGTGGGCATCTTTCTGGTCGGCGTTAGCCGGCTGTTCAAGCGAAGCGGAGCTGGGAACTGGAGCGACGGCGGCGACGCCGGGCCAAGCGCGGCAGAGGCAGTGGCTGCCCTTTTGGATGCCGTTGTAGAGCGGGACGAGGTGTTTCCCACAGCCTCCCCACCCTGTTTTCCCGCACCCTTTGCATTCCACCTTGTAACACATCTCTCTTTTTTTTTTTTTTTTTTATCACTTTCTTCTTCACTTTAATTTGCTTCCCACGCTTTTCAATTCCCAGCAATTTTTCGCCCTGTATTTAAACGGCGAGAGGAGGCGTTGGTTAGGTGGTTTGTCCGACGTAATCGAAGGTCCCATGGGGGAGAATTTTTGCGGCGGGAAATGCTATGTCGAGGAATTATAAGGCTCGAATTCATCGTCCAGTTACAGGAGGAGAGATTCCCCTAAATTAGACCTATTGAGGAGTTACATAGTGAAAAAATTCATACCAATCCATCACTTGTTTTTATTCAAGTTCGATATATTTTACCCATACCCAGCCAAACATGTATCAAGTATCTGACGGGGCGGGGCGGGGCGAATACGCCTTATCACAACTATCCGCACATTAGTATTCGATATTCGAGGAGGCTATTTTGTTCACGTCGGGAGAGATCTGTTTATGTCTCCAATAAGAACGTAATCCAGCATTTAAGGATCTCATCAGGATGCCTAACAAAAGACGATTAGTTTCAGCAAACACAAACCTACTACTACACATCATATATGGTGAAGTAAAACTAAATTCTCGCAACATGAACAGAAACACAATGTAGCCGCACTCATTAGAACCATCCTCTTGACATCACCACTACTTCCTCCTTTCCCTCCCAAATATCCATTTCCATGTCCGTATCTATAGCGAAAAATCCATTAGTTAAAAACAGTCCAATTGATCGCGATTCAAACCGACGTTCAGGAAGCTTTGCCATCGTCTTCCTCGGCTCTGTCCGTCGAGGACTCCACAGCGGGCTTCTTTGCTGGACTGATGGGGGCCATCAGCACGCGCTTCACTCCTCTCCCGACAACACCCAGGTGGGTGACACCGCCATTTCCATTCGTATGACCTGTCGAAACTGTAGGGGACTCCGACTCACCAGCATTCCTATTCGTAGCCATCCGGGAAGAAGAGCTCACTAGACCCGGGGAAGCGGTCTTCTGATCATCGCCTCTAGCCCTGGCTGCTGCCATTCCCAGGATCTCTTGAAGAATCGACTTTGGGTTCACGGCGAGCTGCTGGAGATCTTCGAGCTGCAGCAAATCCATGGAACACCGAGTCAATCATAGCAATGCTGATTGATAGAGATACCAGAATCTCAGCCTAAGTGAACCAACCCAACCCGACCACTCGAAATCCAACCAAAGCACATTTGACCGGTACCAATTGGGTAGGGTACTAGGGTTGATGGAGTAGTGAAAAATTACCATTTTTATACCTATCCAGTTCATATAACTATAGTCTATACTAAACTAAATATTGCATCAAAACTACAATTAGTACCAAAATAGTCTGCAAATGCATTTTAGCACCTAGAACCTTTTACTCTGCCAATGCACTCCGCATACCCGACAACTACACTATGACAGCCTTCATTTTTTATTATGTCTATGGTGCCTTCCTCTGGCAATTTACAACTAATCCACAGCTATCATTTCCATTACTTTATTTATCCAACAGCCTTTGGGCCTCACGTTAGAAATTTTGCGAGCAACTATCAAAAGCCTATTTAAACTCATCACATAAACCCACAAGCCATTTAAACCCAATCCATTTTCCACCTACAGCAATACGGTATTATTGTGAAAACATCAAATGGAAAACCAAAGATGCATCCGTACCTTCTTTTCTAGTTCCACAGATAGACCAGTAAGTGTTTCGATCTCTGCTTCTTTGTCTGATACAGATATGTCAGGCAGAGGTCCAGTAGATGACTGCTGGACACCCTCATCCATTTCTGAAACAGCTGATGTTGCTGCTGACTCTGAAGAGCTCTTTGTTTCAGCAACGAGACGCTGTATACGTGACTTGCATACTGAAATAGCTTTCTCGCAGTACGGGACTGCTTCCTCTGCCCTAGAGCCAGTTTCCAGACATAAACAGATCCGGAAGTTTCTGGTGGCAATAGTCAAGGTCATGTTTATCGCCTATTTGCGAGAAGTATGAAATGCATAAATATATGGGCAATCCAGGACAAAATGGCATTAGTAATGGATTAGAAATAGATATAATCAAAAGGATACAGTTCAGCTATAAGCCTACTGTCAGGTTCAACGAGCCGCTCTAAGATGGATAAAGCAGCCTGGTAGTCACTCAGAGATGTTTCAATGTCCTCTGTAACATAGCCAAAGTCAGCAAGATCCCGTGGACGTGGGAAATATTGCCAGAAAGACAGAAAACGTGAAGGTTGTTGATCATGTTTAAAAATTTCAAGTCAAAGAAAAAGAAGGCCAGCTAACCTCTCTCCAAGGCAACTTCAGCTAGAGCTGATAGTACATCCACTTTATCCATGGTATCACCAGAATTCTTATCAGCAATTGCCCTCGCAAGATCCAGCATTTTCCAGGACAAATCAAGATCAGACTCATCCTCCTCATCTCCTTCAGCTTCAGCCAATTCATCGGCATCACTTTCCTCCCCATCATCTTCCTGTTCTTTATCACCTGATGGTTCAAAAAAAATGCAGAAATATCTCACTCTTCCTTCCCAAAAACAGTAACCTCAATAACAATAACAAGCATTTCATTAACACAACACAGACATACCACCGTTCGTAGCTTCGTTTTGATGACTGGAGCTCCCATCCTCTTGAATCTTGCTTGATGCTGAAGAAGATTCTCCATTAGCTGCAATCTTAACAGATGCATCTTTACCAGATGGCTGCTTAGATTCACTGTCCTTCTTCGGTACTGAACCCAATGGGTCAGCCTCCTCTTGAGCCTTACACAAGAGAGCGCGGCCATAGTCGTAGTATGCAGTGATGCATTCAGGAGCAAGTTCACCAAAATGCCCAACCCTGTGAATTTCCAAAATCCACAGATGAAAAGCATCAGCACTTACTCGTTCCATCAGCTATCTAATTTTTTACACAGGGTGAAGCTCCAACTATCAACAATTCTTTTCACCTAATGCTACAATCAAGAACGAACACCAAGGGCTGGCCAACTAGATCGAAGAACGAAGAAGTAAGTTTTCAGAAAATTCAAAAACCCTAACCTGATTTCCAGGGCGCGGCTGAAGCACTCGACGGCCTCCTCGAAGTCATTTTCCTTTAGAGCCTTAGCTCCTCTCTCCGCCAACTCCGCCGCGAATTCAAGTGACTTCTCCTCCTCGCCTCCATCGGAAGTCACCGCGGATGTCACTCCTCCGCCGTTCTTGACCTCGTTCTCGTTGTTGTTGCAAGTGGACTCCGCGCCTCCCAGAGCGTACGATTGGATAGTGGCCTCGATCGAAGTTTGAGCTTTAAGCGGCGCAGTCCCCTCCGTCGCCGCGGCCTGCTCAGCCATCGTCACAGAGGACTCGGACGCCGTTGCTTCCTCTTCCGCCATTGATTTCAAGAAAGAAATGGAAACGAAAAGATTTCGAGAGGGAAAAAGGGGAAAGGGTTTGTACAAAAACAAAAACCCCGCACCATGTCCAAAATTCTCAACGACGCCGTTTCCGGAATCTGAAATGCCGATTATGCCCTCCTTGGAGTTGGTTGGATCAGTGGGATATAATGGTAAATTGGCCTAACTGGGCGCCAAGTATATAACAAAATCGCTTCCATTGCTGGATGTGAAGTAATCAAGAAATTCATTTTCAACCTCAAGTTAAATTAATGGCTGCCACGGCAGCGCAATCCTCCGTTATCCGAGCTCTCCTACCCCGCAATGCGCCGGCGTCGAAATCCTCTCCCGCCTCCCTCAACAGCCGGAGGAATTTGCTCTTCCTGATGACGGCGGTCCCGGCGTTGTCGATGAAAGAATCGGTCTCCAGAGCGCAGGACATCCCGCTGTTTGGACTGAAGAGGAAGCTGAAGAAAGCGGAGGAGGAAGCCGAGCTGCTAGTCAAGGAAGGCTTCGAGACGGCGGAGAAGGGGCTCGAGACGGCGGAGAAAGGGCTCGTGACGGCGGAGATAGGGATCGAGGAAGCGGTGAGTTTCGGCGGACTCGCGCAGGCTGGCGCCGTCTTCGGAGCAGAGGCCGTCGCCGTTCTGGTGGCTACTTCCGTCGTCAGCGGGATTTTGGGGCCGGATGCCTGAAAATCTTGAGAAATTTTAAATTGTTCCGAAATCGATTTTCTTAATTATGCTTTAATTTCTGTAGATCGCTTCCCTGTTTGGTTTGGACAAATAATGAAAAAGGAGGAGAAATTCATAAATCTTCTAAGCCAAGAGCTATCAGCCACACTCATGGAAAAACACTTATTTTTAAGTGGCGACAAGCCAAACACGCCTTAATTCACTAGCGATTGTTTGGCACAGAATAATATCTGCAATGGCTCATGTAGCCTCGTCGAACTCCGTCCACACATTCCGGCCGCATTTCCCCACCGCCGAATCCCCGCCGGTGCCGTTTACCAGAGCCACTTTCCCTTTCCATGAGAAACCCCGGAGGCAATTCCCGGTCGTAGCATGCGAAACCAAATCCAACTCCTCGACTGAGAACTCCACCGTTAAGGTACGCCGCTGCGATTTCCCAAGCGCTTCTTCGTTTCCTTTCACCTGAGTTTAGGTTCCGATCTCATTCCGTTGAACGACTGCAGGAAAAACAGGCTGCTGATTCAGTGACGAACGACGCCGGCGAGGCGACGAGTTCGTCTTCCGATTCTTCTGGTCTCCCCGAATTCCCGACTAGGAATCTGAATAGAAGGATAGCAGTTGGTTCGGGGCTCTTCGGAGTTGGGCTTTTCGTTTTAGGGCGGCTGGATTTTGGGGTTTCCCTGAAAGATTTATCCGCCGTTGCATTGCCTTATGAAGAGGTTTGTTCGTCTGTCTTCCAATCCCCTCTCAGGAAGTTAATTCGTTTCTAAGGATTTGATGGTAGAAAATGAATGCTACAATGGCGAGATTCAATTAGTAGTGACAGTAAATCTATGAGCATAACGATTGCAAGGTTTGATCAAATGTTCTTGTGCTGTTTTCTTTTGCAGGCTCTCTCAAATGGGAAGCCGACGGTGGTGGAGTTCTATGCAGATTGGTGCCAGGTTTGCAGAGAGTTAGCCCCAGATGTGTACAAAGTCGAGCAGCAGTACAAGTAAACCGAATCTCTTTATGGTTTGATCTTTAGATCATGAGCTTTTCGGCGTAGTGTTTCGAGATTCGAAATGGGTTTGGTGTTTAATTGTAGGGGGCAAGTGAATTTTGTGATGCTGAATGTGGACAACACGAAGTGGGAGCAAGAGCTGGATGAGTTTGGAGTTGAAGGGATCCCACATTTCGCATTCCTCGACCGAGATGGAAATGAAGAAGGCAACGTAGTTGGGAGGCTGCCGAGGCGGTACCTTATGGAGAATGTCGAGGTGCTCGCTAAAGGGGAGGCGACCGTGCTTCATGCTCGTGTGGTCGGGCAGTTCTCTCGAAGGCAGAATCAAGGAAAGTTCGCCCCATTAGCGATCCTAGAACCCATGGTTGATTGAAAATGCAGTTGCTGCTGCATCTTTCATTTGAAAAGAGAAGTTTGGTAATTAACACTTTTGTTAACTTCATGTATGCTGAAAGCCATCTACTACTTTGAATGGTGCCTACCCACTTGTGAATTTGATAGTTAATTTAACTTGCAGTTTATGCAGAGAACTCCTGTTTGATAGCTTATCTATGGTTATTGCTGAGTTTCCTTCTTTTAGGAAGAACATAATCAAGGTCAATAGATTCCAGTTTTGCTGTTTTATGCAACGTATAGATGATTCTCGTTGAATGTTTGGATTCATCTAAACAGGATATTTCATTGCGGATAGGGAAGGAGAACAAGAACAGCAGAAAGAACTTCATCTTATGCTTGCAATTACAGTAATGTATACCAGAAATTGGGTAGGGAAGGGGGCCATATTGACTGGAAGTGAAGGGGGGAAACCGTACTAGACATCAGTTATCTGCAACGGTATAACTATCTATCTATATATATATTGAGGATCTACCATGAAACTACATAATATATACCTCAATTGTATTCACAGGAGAATGGGATATATATGATGAACAACAAGCACTCCTGCCTTCACTGAGCATTACCCAATAAGCTGTTCGATGAAGGCGAGCTCTGCTCACTGAACCAAGGATCCTGCACCGAAACAGGGGAGCTATCTTTCACTCCTTCCTCCAGTGAACTCAAATACTCCACCTGGTTCCTCTCCGGAACAAACAGCCTCTTGCTCTCGATGCTAGCCTTCTTGGTGGCCAGCGACTTCTCGCTTCTACCATCGTCCTCGTCGTCCCCTGATGAAGTCGAGGAACGCCCTGGCGATCCAAGGTACACGTCGGGAACGATCCAAGCGCTGAGCCTGATGTTCTCCAGCTCCTGAGCCACCTCGGTCATCGAAGGCCTCATGTCGCGATGAAATGCCAGACACCTGAACGCAAGCTCGGCAACATTATGAATCGACGACAGCGTCCACGCGTCCCTGTGCGGCTCGAGGTAAGGGTCAATGATGTCATCCACCCCGCCTCTGCCAATCCTGTCTATGGCAAGGGCTGCCAAGTTGACCTCGCTGTGAGGTCGCGAAAAGTCGACCACCTTCAGCCCTGTGATGATCTCCACCAGCACGACTCCGAAGCTGTACACATCGCTCTTGTCTGAGAGATGGAAGTACTGATGATACTGTGGATCCAGATAACCCGGCGTCCCCTGTGGAGCCGTCGAAACGTGGGAATTCTCCGTCAGACCGAGCCTAGACAGCCCGAAATCGGCCACTTTCGACTTGAAGTTGTAGTCGAGCAGTATGTTGCTGGATTTGATGTCCCTGTGGTAGATAGGCGGGTTGACTGCAGAATGTAGATAGGCAATGGCGTTAGCCGTTTCGGTGGCAACCGCCAGTCGAATCGGCCATGGAAGCCCCTTCCCTCTCTCCCTCTGCAAATGCTGACAGAGGGTTCCGTTCGGCATGAACTCGTAGACCAGAATCTGCTCCCCTGACTCGATGCAGCAGCCGAGGAGGCGGACGAGGTTCGGGTGGCTGACCGACGAGAGGAGCTTGATCTCGTTCATCACTTGGTCGATGCTGTCGGTGTCCCTGTGTCGGATTTTCTTGATCGCCACGCACTCGTCGTTGTGGAGCTTGCCGGAGTAGACGGTGCCGTATGCGCCGGTGCCGAGGCGCTGCTTGTCGGAGAACCCGTTGGTGGCTCGCTCGATGTCTTTGTAAGCGTAGAAGGGGACGCTGGAGTTGCCGGCGGCTTCGGAGACGAGGCGCTTGGCGCTCTGACGGTGTCGGAGGAAGGTGGAGCGCCGGCGTAGGCAGTAGCAGAGGAAGGCTACCGCTGCCATTAGTGCAGCTCCGGCGACTAGGCCTCCGACGAGAACGCCGACTCTTGTGGTTCCTCCACATTCGCCGGACATGTACTTCGATGGGTTGCAGTTGGAAGCTGTCAAACCAAAAAAATTAAACAGCCAAATCAGCAAAACCCAGCGTAAATTCCTTAAGGGTGCGTTTGGATAAGTGTATTTTAAATATAAGGTATTTGAAATACTAGCATTTGAAATGGATGTATTTGAAATATTAGCATTTGAAATACATGTAATTCAAATTCGTTGTTTGGATACTTATTTGTTTGTATTTTGTATTTTATGATTTTCAATTTCAATTTTTAATTTTCTGGTCACTTACTACAAATTTTGGTAAATTACAGTTTGGTACCCAAATTTATTTTTTCTTGCAATTTAGTACCTAAACTTTTAAAATTTTACAAAAAGGTCCTGAAATTTGATGGTAAAATTACATTTTGGTACCTTTATATGTTTTGCCTCACACTATAATACCTAAACTTTTCATATTTGAAATGTATTTGGAGTTGAAATGTATTTCAAATCACTAGTAGTTGAAATGTATTTGGAGTTGACAAAAAATACACTAGACATGTATTTGGAAATCACCCCATGAATTTGACACAAATCCAAATACCAAATGAATTAGTATCCAAACACATGATTTGGTATTTGGAAATCCAAATCACAAATACCAATTCCAAATCATTGTATCCAAACGCACCCTAATATGATCCAACGTAGAGAAAATCATAAATGTTCTTCATCAAGCAAATGCGGAAAATTCCTCGATATGAACCAATTAACGCGGGGTAACCAGAACGGCGAAAATCGAGTTATAAGTCATAACCTGATATGAATTTTTATCCAAAGTTCAATAACACTGCTTTACGATGTCATCCAAGTTGTGTTCTTACTTCACCGACGATCGTGGTTACTTCCACTGACGTCACAATCTCTCGTAGCTAATCCATTGGAAGAATATTCAAACACATTCCGAAAACTCGAGTCATTTTCGTATCTAAACATTATATCGCGTTTCGTTGGTTCGAGAAGGTTGGACCAACTAAAATTTTGGCGTTTAAGACCAAGTGGTGGTGGTGGGGATGTGAATCCACTGCAAATTTTCTCTCCAACTCTATCCACAACTTGGTTAGTTTAGAGTATTTTTCTAGAACCCACCCACTTGAACACTAACAACAAACAGCAACTAGACACACAATCTTCCTTGCCGCAAATATTCGCTGACCAAACAAAACCGTGTGTACTATATATAGAAAATTTGCTAAACAAAGAATTTCACATGCATTTGCTCTCTACTTGGCCCCATGACCTAACAAAGTCAACATCATAATCCCAATTCAAAATTTACTTAACCCGTAAATTATTACCGCTCTAATCAAACTTCTTTCGCAAAATTAACGGCTTATAATCGCCGATACATCGTATCACACATTTCAATTGTTTGAATTACTACGATAACATGATTTATGAAAATGTTACCACATCCAATTCAATCATTGTAAACATACGATTAAGAACATCTAACTACATAAACTGATGCGCGCGTCAATATAATAGTCAGATTCTAGCGATGTCGCCCTCGATAATCAAACCGAAATATGACCTAGGGACCCAATTCTTAAACACGTTACATGGAAAAATCAGAAATGGTCAAAACTATTCCGTTTACTTGAAGGGAAAAAATAATTAATTTGTTCCCGACTTATAAGGTTCATAGTTTTTCTTTTCCTTAATTTTTAATTCTAAAATATTCCATTTCGACAGTCCTAATTCCACGCAACTTTCACAACTATGGACCAACAAATTCCTCCATCTACGTGTCGCTTTCTTATTGGGCTTTGCCAGTCAAAAAAGCCAAGATTACGCCAACCCCACACCGCGCACCAAAATCAAAACTTTGGACTATAAATCAAGCTTTTAAAATTAAAATTAGAAAAAGAAAAGTCTAAAACGTTGACTGACCTTTCCGGCAACCACCGCGGCCAAACCCGTCGCCGACGAGTCCTTCCCGACACCGGCACCGGAACCCCGACTTACTTCCCTCGCCGCCGCCGAGGCTCACATCCCGGCAGTCGGCGAGCCGGGAGCAGGAACCGGTCCGGTTCTCCGCACAGCTCCCGTCGAGCCACCACTCCAGCTGGGCTCGCTGGAGCTCCAGCGACACCACCGGGTCCTCGGAACCCGACCCGAGCGCCACCGCCGTGAACGCGAACTTGCACCGGGTCGCGCTCACGTCGCCGTAGCTCAGCACCGCCGCGCCCGTGTTCTCCGCCGAGTAGCAGGTCACGTTGTCGCTCCTCGAATCGCACCCGCCGCTGACGTTCAGCTGGTTCTGGATCGAGCTCGTCGGGATCACGCACCCGCCGCCGCCCGTCCGTCCGCCGCTGACGCCGCTGCAGTTCTGGAGGAGCAGGCTGGTCCGCCAGGCGGGTGCGAAATTGGAACCGAAGAGGGATGATAGAGAATCGAGCGGCCGGTTGCATTTCGCCGGGACGGCGACGATTACTCCGTCGGGGGTGATGTTCTGGACCCGAAACTCCCCGATTCGGATCTCCCCGGCGGAGCAATTGAGCTGAATCGGGCAGCCCGATGAGAACCCGAACGGATACGGGACCCGTCCTCCGCCGCCGCCGCCGCCGCATACCTGTTCGCAATTTTTAACCTCTGCTGACCTAATTGGCTGGAGGAGATTGAGAATCCAAATGGTACCCAGTATCAGTACAGGCCAAATACGCGAAACCATCATCTCTTCGGAGGATCTTTCGATTTACCCAGAAGCTGAATGAATCATTGACCTGGTGAAAAACAGAGGGGGAAAATTGGTGTGAGAATCTTGGAACAGAGGGCTTATTAAATTGGGTTTCCAGGCCTGGTGCCGTTGGGAAGCCATCTGAAGAAGAAGAAAATAAAAGTCAATTAATGCTTCATGGAAAAGGAACCGAGAAGGAGGGTGGAGAGAGCTTCATTAATGGTGTGAAAGTGAATGACCCTCTGTTTCTCGCTTCATCTTTCATTTTTCTCATCCAATTTCTTATTTCCACTTTTCCTTACCAACCAAACAGGAAAATACAGAGCCGAAAGTATTAATGAGCTGTAGAGAGAGAGATAGAGAAAGCAGTGGTACCTCTTACGACTAAGCTGGTCTCTGGACCGATTTCTCATTCGGTTGGTTCATCAATGGCGTCCCGGTTTCCAATTCAGAGCTCAGTCGTCGTCACTCTGGTTACACAAATTTTTTGGGTCCTCTTCGAAGCTTCAAATATCGATGCTTCGCAGCGGTGGTGGGCTGGCAATGGCAGATGGGAGGTAAAATCCAGAGAAGTTTCAAGCAGACGACTTTGTTCGTTTTTTATATATTAGTTGAATTGTTTATTTTATTGAGCTCGCTATCGATCTTTAATGGAGAGGGGAATGAAAACAGAGGAGATGGAGGAAATCAGAGGGAATCCCCAAAGGGTGGGTGAAATTACACTCTTATCCTCGCTAAGGATGCTGATTGCTGAAGAAGGCATCAACTCAAAAATTATAATCTGACCTCAGGTTCAATTGAACCAATTCACCAACAAAGATGGGATGGAAAACAATCCCCAAAGGGTGGGTGAAATTACACTCTTATCCTCGCTAAGGATGCTGATTGCTGAAGAAGGCATCAACTCAAAAATTATAATCTGACCTCAGGTTCAATTGAACCAATTCACCAACAAAGATGGGATGGAAAACCATGGTTTTGGAAATTAGATCGGCCGGTCGGATCGTTGTTCATGGTCGAATCGACAAATCGTGTAATATCGATCGATTTTGGTCAGACCGTCCACTCGCCATTCTTCGTCGATCGCCTTCCTATTTTCTCATCGATCATCGTGCGTCACAATGAAAGACCAATAATAGCTTCTTTCACTCCGGCTCCGATCTCAGCTAGTTGTCTATAAATAATTCTCATGGTGCTAGATCCTGTACCAAGCCTCGGATCGCTGAAAGGTCGTAGAAGACAAGGAAAGCAGGGATGCAATGTGTTGGAGCCAATGACAGTGAAGTGTGGATCGCAAACTGCGAGGAACTCTTACTATGTTGAGGATTTGAATACGTGATCTTATGAACAAATCGGATCTGATACTATATCATAAATTAATAAATCGAAGATGATTATCTATGAATCTTAATCATTTTCGTACAAATTCTTCTGTTGTGGAAACAGTTTGATAGTGAATAGATGAATGATTTATGGCAAAAAAAAAATTGGGTTGGACCATAAATAAATCTCATATAATCATGGCGTCTATAAATAATGGAAATAATGGTAGAGTCAAGCACGCAAATTATGATGAGAAAAAAGGACGATTTTGACTGAAACCCATGAGAAATTGAGATTGATCATCAAGGGCTTTGTTGTTGCCTTCCTTTCCTTTCGTTTTGATGATATTTGGATGATGTTGGTTTGGTTGTGTGGACCATATCTACTTAATTTTGCACTTGATATATATTGGCAAAAACATTGTTTAGGTTCTTGTATTTGTGTAAGGGATTTAGTTTTAAAAATCAATATAAATCCACTTTTTTATAGTGACTCTTCACATACTTATTAGTTTCAAGTATTTGAGATCACACCATTTCGAGACTTCATTTGAAAGTTGATATTTTTCAAACGGTGTATACTCAATTTATGCATGTATTTACAAGTTTGACGATTTTACGAGTCGGGATTATTCAAGATTGCATTATTCGAGTGTCGGGTGTGATTTGTATGAGACCCACTTTTAGGGTTATAAGTATAATATGCCATTCTACTATGACGCTTTATCAAACATGCCCCTCTAATATTATTTACATCAAACATGCCTCTGTACTTTGTAAAAATGATCAAACGTGCCATTTTGTATAAATTTTCATCCAAAAACCGTTAACCAAGGCCGAACTTTAATTTGGGCGACACAAATGACTAAAATATCCTTAATAAAATCACTTTAGAATTTTTTGGTTCTTTTGTATAATCAAATCATTCAAATAATTTCACTTTGAAAAGACCCAGGGAAATAAAACAGGGGACAAAACTGACATTTTTCCTCCCATTTGCCGATGTCGGGTCGTCTAAATCTCGGTTCAACCACGTTTGACGATTTTTTCAATGGAAATTTTAACAGAAGGGCATGTTTGATAATTTTTTCAAATTAGAGGGGCATATTTGATGTAAAAAAATAGTAGAAGGGCATGTTTGATAAATTGTCATAGTAAAGGAGCATATTATACCTATAACCCTTGAAAAAAATGATGTATTTGTTCGATTGAATGCAGTTGCAATTTCTCTAAAAAGTGCATGTACTCGTCTTACTATTGCTTTTAGGGGTGGGCATTGGGTGGGTCGGGTGGATTTTGACCATAAAATGCACCCACCCGCGCTTACACGGATTGATAATTTTTAACCCACCACCCACCCACATTTAGTCTCGGGTTGGGTCGGGCGGATGGTGGATGATTTGGGTGGGTTTGTGGGTTCACCCACACCACAATGTATATAATATAAACTTATAAAGGAGTCAACTTGACATGATAACATGCGAAGAGAGTTATCTGGAGAAACAAGAAGATGAAATAGGGCGAAAAATGTCGAATTAGTTCTTAATATTTTTCTACAGATTGAGATGATTACCAGGTGCAAGGAGCTAAGAAAAATAATTCCACAAAGGAAAGAGTAGTGATCTAGGCAAAAGAATTAGAGGAAAAAATAAAGGGAAGAAGAGGGGATCGCTATTTGGAAGGTTGACTTTGAGGTTCGAACTCCAGGAGCAGTCCTAGTTTATGTCTAACGTCTCCACTCTCCCCTCTCTAGCGTCGATGACTTTGATCTTTTTGCTGTTGGGTTGAGCGGGTCACCCGCGCACCCACCCACAACCCACCCACCACCCGGCGGATGGCTCCTAGCGCAACCCGTCACCCACCCATAGACCCACCCACTTAACGAAATTCGAGTCAAATGCGGGTGGGTCGGCCCAAACTCGCGGATGATCCGCCCGCATGCCCAGCCCTAATTGCTTTCTTGAAAAAAGATTTTTTTTAGTGTCACAACCATGCATTATATATTTTTCATAATTTTAAATCTCAAGCAGTCAAAACCCAAATCCAAGAAAATTTTCAATATAATAAACTTATCTTTACCCCCCTCATCTGTGTTATCATATATTAAACTCTTCTTGATCAACTCGACCGAAATCTCGAAAACGGCCGCTCAAATCCGCATTTATAACTACCATCGATCGAAATCTCGAAAACGGCCGCTCAAATCCACATTTATAACTACCATCCCCTACATCCATGATCCATCCAAGTTCACTCAACCATACAACAGAACAGATAAATCCCTACCAAATTACACAACACTATTAGGCAACAAACGGCAGAAATAAAATGCTGCTAACTCCAAATTGAGCAGATACAGCTTTCTATCGAGAGACTGGCTGGCTGGCTGGATAGCCTACAACTTGTTTATCCGTGGATCAGCCGTGTTATTTCCTACGCCACAAAAGCCCCCATCGCCTGAAGAATGGATAAAAAGAAAAAACCTTGTTGTTTATTAATTTTGCATGGTTTGTTGACTTTCTGAATCTCCCCTCCCCATGGATATTCATTGCCCTGTCTGTCGAGCAACTCCCAACTAGAATCTCGCAGAACCTTGCCATCATTTTTCCAAAGAATTCAATTTCAAGGGGGTGAAATGTTGTCTTTATATACATATGTGCTTGTTATAATCAAACAAATTAGAACGTGTTAGTTTGTTGGAGATGGAGTAGAAGTACAATTCAACCGGTTTCGACCACCACCCGATACGATATCCATCAAATGAGCTACTTCATTTTAATTACGTTTACCTAATTTCCATTTCGAGCTCTTCGTCGTACTTTGTTCCTATTCGTTTCCGTCGGCCCTGCATGAGTAGGTCCAGTCCTCGAGCACAAAAAAAAAAAGACTCACCTAAGTGTCCGACCTTCATACCCCAGGCTCGTCGGGGTTGGCCTAATTTTATCCACGGTTGGCCACCACCATAGAGGCACGTAACGACATAGCTGACTGCAGTACAGAAAATGTACGGATGTAAGCAGAGTATTACGTCATGCATCTAAGATGTAAAACTCGGTGTTGATTCGTGCATGCGTTGAACGAGTTCACGGACCAACAAGCGCACAAGAGATTGTCCCCCCCCCCCCCTCATAAGAAGGTTTTCGGGCTTCGATAATTTTCTTCAAATTTCATTATATCTTCATATTAGATCGCCTAAATGAGAATTTTGGTAGGTTATCTATTGTATTCTTTTTATCCCCTTCTGGATAGGCTGCAAGGATAATACTAGGTAATCACAGCATTGAATTGAAGGAAAGGAGAGAAAAAAAACAAGACTTTTACAAGGAGTTCTAACTAGGTTAACCTCGTTGTTAATGATACCGTTAAACTAAAAATCCATTGATTCTCGTTTCTATATATGAATATATGGGTTTTGAGTTCGTAAACGTACCTAATAAAGGGATAAATAGCGGCGAGCACAAACTAAACTAGCAACTAGGTTTAGATGAAGGCATGAACTAAAGCAGCATTGTTTGACCGATTATCATCATTATGCGTTGACCATCATTGCGAATCAGGGGGGGAGAGAGAGAGGATTAGTTGACTGAACATAATTAGACGGGACGCGGGAAGGATTATTAATCATGATTATTATTAATCATGCTTATGTCGACTTCTTCAAGTGGGAAGACTTGGAATGATTAAAGAAAATAGGGTATATGTTCCCACTAAAATGTGTGACATGAAGCCACTTGTCTGATTGTGTTGTGGATTTGGTTAAGATAATGTCCCATATGGGGAAAGAATTGTAACATGGAAGTTAACCTAACTTTTTATCACATCTATGACCATAAATAAGACCCAAAATATGCACTCCAAGTGTTAACCTAACTTTCACCAAATTGATTAGAGATTCAATAATCATTTTCCTATATTGTGTTGGAAGGAATTAGTATAAAACAATAAATCTCGTATTCATAACACGAAGCGACTATGATTAGATGCATTGTACGATAAGACAGAGTCCATCTTCTCATCGGAGTCCTTCCTTTGTAAAGGATCATGGTTTATCGTAAGGTTTGGCTAGATTGATATTCACCATCTGTCGGGCTCGTCTTCTCGTTTGTGGCCGCATCAAGTGCGCATTACTTGGAGAAGAAAAGTGACATCATTCGTGATGTGGCGCCGTATGAGTAAAAAAAAAAACAAATATGAAATGAGGTTTCCCATTAGCCACTAGAAAATTAATCCGACGATTCACTTTTGTACTTGGTGACTGTATTTTAATAAACCATGTGTTGGTAGATTGATCGGTCGAAACTCGAAAGTATGCTAATGGCACCGATCAAATTGATTAACATTTAATACGACGAGATTTCTGTATGACTCCATCGTCCTAATGTTATCGGATGTCTTGGAGAGGACCAAAACGATGAGACCTCACTTGCTTGCTGCATGCGTAAGCGGGCCATTTGGGCTCGGGTCAAGTATTTTTCTTAAATCATTCGATTTTGTTTTTTATATGGGCTCGAAGTCAGGCCCAGTTGGAATGTTAAGGTGGCCCAAATCAATAGCCTCTTTTCTTTTTCCCGGTAAACTGATACCCTTTTCCCTCTCAGTTCAACCTTCCCCTTCTGCTTAAACCCTAGACCTCGACGACGAAAGGAAACCAACCCACACTGACAAATTTCAAAGGAATTCAGTATGTCGAAAAGCGAAGATTACGATTCAGACGCACCGGAGGAGTTCACCGCCGAGCAGGTTTCTTTCTTCCTCCTCCCTTCTTCAGAAACTGAGCTTTTGTTTTTTTTTTTATTTATTTATTTCCTTCACTGCTGTTCGGAGCAAAAACCCACCACCGCGTCTAAAAATGGCGTCTTTAATGGGTCGTTGTTTTTGGGGCAGGGGATTGAATTAGATGCGGAGATAAGGAAGATTCAGAAGGAAAATAAGTCGAGGTATGGTTTTCCTCTTGCTTTTTTGGATGCATTTTTCACTCCCCAGCTTTAAAGTTCGGAACTTTCCGCCTATATGAACCTGTTCTGCTATGGTTAGTTTGTGGATTTTGCCTAAATGAATTGATTCTGATTGATGGACATTGGAGGTTGGGAAATGGGTTGCACCTTTTGTAGAGCAAAGTGTCAGGATTCTTTCTGGTCCTAGAATTTTCAGATGCGGTAAGTTACTCGGGGTTTGAAATTATGATGTTCTTTCTTGAAGATAAAGAATCACATGGTAATCAAGTAAAACTTATAGAGTGAAGGGTTTGTTCTTTAACCTATTGTCTTCCCATTTAGACATTTGAAGTTGAGGGTCGGTTCAAATATAAACTTCTGAAAAAGTGACAAGCATCTCTTCTTAGCTTTAGCTACTTCAGTAATGCCAAACTTGCTATTTGATTTCCGTTATCAGGATTGCCCGTGAGGGTAAAGCACTAAGGAGGAAATGGGCAGAGCGGAAAACGCCACGACCATCCAAAAAAGGAGATGAAGGTGTCCAAGATACAGTTGAAACCGAAGATGGAGATGAAGAAGATGGGTCTCTGACTGCTAAAGGGATGCTCCCTAGTGACATTGTCCAACAACTTGCTGCTCGGGAGAAGTATTGCTCCCTACTCTCTCTTTTTCCCAGTATTTGCCTTGGTACAGGATTCCAACTTCTCACAAGGGGGTGTCAACCATGTTTATGCAGGAAAGTGTTCTTTACAGAATCTGATGATGAAGACGGAAATGCAAAGCTTCCTCCAAGGAAGAAGAAGGCAAGAGGCTCAGGGTATGACATATGAAAGATAGGATTCTTGTTTTTTTCTTCTTCTTCAAGATTGGATTTTAGCTACGCATAATGATTGAATGGATTTTGAAATGTTGTTTTGTGCAGGCCGCAGACTGTTATTCTGAATGAGATATCCCCACCTCCATGTTTACAAAACTCTTTAGAGTTTCTGAAGAAGAACAAGATGCGACTGTCGAGATCATCAGCTGTTCTTAACAACTCCAGCCAAGCTCTTCGCTTTATCTCTACTTCTGGCTTGTTAAGTAAGAAGTGAGAAAAAAGTTGCGGCTTCATCTTCTCCTCCAACGGTCCATTCCCCCCAGCCAACAGTGAGTTGAAGGGGCAATACATTCAACCATCTGGTTTCTGGGAAGTGCTGTATCAAACCAAGTTCTTATACCTTCTTGGAGGCCTGTTGCACCCCCAGCCATTTCGACCAGGATGCAACTTGTTTTTGCTAAGGCAAATAGGCAATCAATCTACTATGTGTAGTCCATGAATTAGTGAAGAAGTGTTGGGATCCTGTTGGCTATTTACAGGTATACAAACACGAAATTTTGTTACTTGCTACTCTTGGTGCATTAGTTACTTGAATGTAATGAAAATTTCAAACCCACAGTTTCTTGAATTAGATAGTGGAGTAACCATTGATGGAAGCTACATGCCAATTGCCATTTTAAGGATTAACCAGAACTAAGTACTGCAGCCCTTGTTCCCACATGATCAAATACCAATTCTTAGCTTAATTTAGCTGACATGATCCCATTCAAGCAGCCAATCTACAAGATCAGATAAGATACTTCTGCCTTCTGTTCCAAGTGATAGAAACTAGAGACTCCACAGATGGTGTACTTCCACATAAAACTGACTCGCCAGTGCAGTCTTCCACCTCCTAGACAACCTTCCCCACCCTCTAGTCTTCAAGGAGAGGAGAAGGCATCATCCGGGTCGACCCATGTCTCGCCGTGTTGAACCCCCGATTGCAGGGCTAGGAGAGCGTTCCTGACCCGGTTCAGGCTCCGATGGTCCCTGATGCGCCTCAGGACGACGTCCCTGTCCAGCGCTCTCGATGCAGCGTGATGGTTGTGATCGCTACGAGCTTGAGCCTTTGAAGATGGCTTCAAGAGGAGCTGACTGCTGACCGACGGCATAGGAGGACTAGTGACCCCTCCCTCGCTGTCATCTTCGAACGACGAGTGAGAGCTTGGACCGTTGCTGAAGGTTTCGTGCGCAGCAGCTTGTTTGGAGAAGAGGATATCCATAGCTGGAGATGAGATAGTAGTAAGTATGAAGAAGTAGAGAGTGGAAGGTTAGAAGGAAGAGAGGTTAGTTTATATACACAGGAGGGAGTGCGAGTTTAGAGGAAGGTTTAGAAGAAGGGAAGGTTGAGGTTTTGGCATTTTCCCGTGGGAGGGAGCACATGGTTTGTTTGCGGGGGATGATGGCGTGGCCCCCACGAAATCTGTGGGTTTTGCTGTTTTCTATATTGGGATGAAGTTTTGCTGGTTTAAGGTAGATGCTGTGTCGCATTTGATTCGAGGGATGCCTGTTTATGGCATTGGTGTTATCGTTTAACCGCTTCCCGCGTCGCGATTTTTTGTTTTTTTTCTATAACCTTATTAGTAATTTCACGTAGTTTACTTTGCGTATTCATCTAATTGATCGATTTACTAGTGATAATAAAATAACAAGATGATTAGACAAGTACTCAGTCGAATTCAAAGCAAAATCCAGTCACTACTTACTTTCATCAGGTGAGTATTTTCTATATTGGATAAAGAGGATAATATATTTGATCTAGTGTTTTAAATATCTGCACCCAAGTCGCCTAATTATATGCTATCACTTCACCATTTCGATCATTTCTATCCTTCATACATCATTTCGATCATTTAGATCGCTCTGACGTTATAATTTTTTCTCGAGACTTCAAAGCTTGAGTGTTCTCGCTCAATTTTACATCCATCTAAAACAATTTCGACTAACATAGACATTCTACTAGAAGTTTTTCATTATATCAAGACCAAGAAGTTTGTTATTTGAGCAACATATATGACAGTATAGCCATTACTATAGACATATATTACAGTATCGTAACAGTCGAACTTGGTATTGGACAGAACCAACCTCCAAAAGCTATACACCAAAGTCCCAACGATTTCAGGCTTTCCTCGGATAATAGGCAGCTGTGGGCGTCGCAAAACGTGTAGCGTTTGACCAGTCCACTGTTTCATTCATTACCATTACCTTTCTTTCAGTCCCAATTGTTACTTGTCGTTTTCGTCCTTGTCCAGAAAGCTCAGCAAGTAGCCGCCAACGATCCGGCGAGCAATCGGATTAGGAATCCGGCGACACAATCTTCCGTCGATGTACGCCAGGATACCCGACAGAACGAACTTGCCGACGCCCCATTGCCAGACGAACCTCATCTTCCCGCCGTCAAGTGCTGGGACTATAGCATTGCTGCTGCCATCTTCTCCCACTTCCTCTCCTGTTGCTGCTGTTTCTTCGTTCTTCCACTTGATATTGGCCAGCACTTTACCGGACACTTTCACGGTCTGCTTTCTCAGAGCGCGGATTGCAAAGCTGACGAACAAGTGCTCGCAGAGGGTCAAGACAGTCGGTCCGATCTTCCAGTCGTTTTCTCCTCGGAGATTGCGGAAGGGGCGAGAAGAAGAGGACGCGTCGCCTTTCAACAGTGCCTTGCTTACGAGGAAAGCCTTGACACGGTCCATGATTTCGTCTATGAGGGAGCTGTTTGGGGGTAGGTTCTTGAGGATAACCTGCATTTTTCATTTTTCACAATTTCGGCATCAGGATTGGTAGAGTGGCTCAGGAAAATGAAGAAAAGTAATGGAGTATAATTCTATGTTCATGTTTTTTACCTGATCATCAATGACTCTGACTCTAAGGTACTCTTGCTTATACATTGAATCCAGCATCGCTTGCAGATATCCTTCGATGTAGAGCTGCAAGCAAAATGCTTGTGTAGTTAGCAGGGTTGTAGGCTACAGATTCAGTCACACTGGACCGAATTGGCATTCAAATTGAATAAGAATGGATCACATACAACTTGATCCGGTTTCGATGCTCAAAGTTAGAAAGACTTTGATTTCGATTTTATGACAATCTGACCAATTCGAAACTGGACATGACCTAACTGGATCAAATGCATTTTTTATGCAGTTCTGGTCCTCGTGTTTCACTCTGGACCCGACCACACCATGTCCACCCTAGTGGATAGAAAGGTGGGATTAATAAAATGAAAGGCATGATAGTATGCTGATTACCTCGTCGACACCTGGGCTGCGATCGAGTTTAATCTTTCTATCCGGGCCACCAACCATGACGGCTGTCCCAATCACTGATGGTTCCATGGCCAAATTTAGAATGCCTTGGCGAAAGCCGCGGACCTTGAGATAAGAGGCCAGGAACATTAGAAGATTCCTATTGTGGAACGAAATGAGCAAAGGAACGGAAAGGAGGTGGGGAAGAAGTGATGACTGATGACCGATGAGATGACAAGCAATTTACCATTCCATCAAAACCGGTTGTTTCTGCTCCCTTCAGGACAGAATCGGATACTTCAGTAACAGCAACAAATAGCACATTTGACCCCAATGTCCTCAACTGTCATGGCCGGAGGACCCTACTGTAAGTGGCTCGACTTGCTAACACAAAATTCCATCACTGAGAAATATTAGAGGATACATACCGTTTTGCCCAAATCACCAAAGTACCGCTTTGTCCCTGAGAACCCTCTGCCATCAATGCAATTACTGATGAATTTGAAGGTACCTGTTCTCAACAAGTAAAGCAGCAACCATGCATGTAAGTAACAGCAACTACGAAACTAATCCTGTGTCTTGAGAAAAATAACCGTAACAATTTACCTAAAGTCAATCCTGGAAGACTGACTAGTCCACGAGAAGGATCGAAGAAGACATCAAGAGAAGACGAGGCCATGTCATCAAATATAGATGCAAAGGCTGGAGGGAGCAAGGGGCTTCCCTTGGCAATATAGATGGCCCTCATAGCATACCTGCAGTGATGATGTGTGTAAGCAATAGGAAACCTAGTGAACTCATTTGGAGGGATGAAAAGCAGCATACAACCAGGACCTTACCATGAATAGTGTTGGGCACATTTGATGAACAGTTCTCGCATGGTTATCAAAGCATGAGTGACCAGAACCCCGTTAAGTTCTACAACCATATTTTTTATGGTGGGAACCTGCAGAGAGCAAAAGAAACAGAAAAGCGATTTTGAATACCAAGCAAAGAAGACCATGGTTTAGTGGGAAACAAGAGTGTTTTTCATACCTTCACAACACTATGGATTAGTGATCTTAGAGTCTCCTGTGTTGAGCTGTAACTCGAATAAGAGTCGCCGGGAAGGAAGTTTGCAATTATCTATCGATGCATACCAACATAGGTCAGATAAGGTGTATCAAGCCAACGGGCACCTAAGACTACAGATGCAGAAAAATATACAGATACCATGCACTTAACAAATGCAGAAGAGAGCAACAAACCTTCACAGGGTGGATCTCAAAATAGTCGAAGTAATACTGCCGACTTGGAGCAGTTGAGTCACTGAGAGAAGATCTCCAGAATGAGGCGAATCTCATCAATGTCTCCTCATCTATGTTCAAATCGATTGGCTGCAAACAATTGATTCAAACTGTTAAGGCATGATATCGGTGTTTTATGATCCTACCAGCAACATGGGTGTGTTTGTTTTGGATAAAGATTAACTAACTTCAAAAGAGACTGAAAAGTAAACAGACTTTTTCAATTTGACATTTTAAAAAGAGTATAAGCCTACATTCCACAATCATTCATCCCATCAATTGCCTTTTTATTGATTAAAGTATCTCATATCCTAATGACTGAATCTTTTCTAAACCCAACCAAACACATTTTAGACCTGGAAGTACCACAGAAACAAAAAACTGGGTAGCCTGATTATACCTGGAGGATGATTGATGAGTATTTAACTTGGGTTACTTTAGAGCTGATTGAAAGAGGGACGAAGAAAACTTTCAGTACAGGAAAATCTGAGTCATTCGATTCTAGTTGATGTCTCCGAAGCATCGCTGCGAAAGGAGCATCTGCCCACTTATTGTCCACAGTTAATGACTGCATTGATTCAAACAACGAAGTCTCTGTTAGGAAACAATAGCTATTATCAGTTTGTCAACAATGAAGAATAAGGTATCTGGGTACTTCCACCTGGATCGTGACTAGGTTATACTTCTGTTCATCGGTGATTACTGAATCCAAGTCAACGTTTCCCAATCTTGCAACAGCCAAGGGGCTGTAATGCAATTCCTCGTTATCATCCGAATCCTTCAATAGAAAAGAAAGGTAAAAAACAATGAACCACACGCAATCAAGCAGGGGTGCTTCATTTTTCACACTATGGCCATGTTTACTTTGGCCAGAAAAGTCAACTTAAAAGAAGTTGGGTCATCATGGTTTTTAAAACCTCACCCTAAACCCGACACACCAATTAAATCTAAAAGCCACCTCACTGATAAAATTTATTCCCCACTTTATCCCTTTGTAATGCAGTTCTATACTTAAATTTATACTCGTAATAACTATCTCCCAGAACCCGTTCATCTCTTTATTATTGAACAAACCATCTACCAGCCAAGCAATTACTGTTTAATTACTAAAAAACATATAATGCTCATCAACTCAACTTCATCTGAGACTCACCCAAACGCATTTTTTTTTCCTTCATGTCTAAGAACTTCAACAATTGTTAGCTTTTTAAAGTAAAAGCTAAAACAAACACATTTACTATATTGTACGTAACCAATTCTCTACAAGGACCTTCTGCTTGCAATAAACTATGGACGAAACCACAAATCACCAGTTGAATGAAAGATCTACTAAGACATTCTGCTGACGCAGATTCGGGTGAGACTGACCTCTTTTCCTTGCTCAAGAAAGCGAACAGCAAGCTCAGCAAGTCTTAATTGAATTCTTGCGCTAGACTGAGATGATCGGTCTCCTTTATGGCTATCAGAGAACTCACAAATCCTTAAAACTCGTGTAGCACCCTCTGCGTACACTTCATATCCTATCCTCACAACGGCTATGGTATTCAACTGACTAGATTTCTGGTCCGCTTTTCCCTCCAAATGTGAATGAGAGGCAAGGCTTCTGAGTGGAGTCAGCTTTGTGAAAGGTTTCCAGGTTCGTACCTTATCAAGGTTAATCTCCCGTAATAGATGCATACCTGCATGAATTGTAGAGTACACAACATTAAGATGATTTAGTAGTTCGTCAAACATATCTAAGCTAGGTTGGAATGTAACAATGTGGTAACCCCACTTCCGTTGGACACTTGTGTCCCCGTTTCTTTTTAATATAATTCACCATCATAAAAAAAAGAGGTGGTAACCCTATCATGATGCAGACTAATGTAGAGGGAAATTATTGAGCTGATATAAGCTTCTACTAATATTTGGGCAAATATGTATAGCCAAAAGATATCCAACAAAATAGAATGTCTCATTTTTGCTATTGAAAAGCAAGCTAAGATTCATCAGAAAAGTCAGTAGCTGTGTAGCAATTACCATTGACTAAAACAACCAGTTTGTGCGAAAGAGTCAAATCG